TCCCCCTTTTTCCTCACACCAGCCTTGGGCAATCACTTATTGATTCTGTCTCTACGGGTTTGCCCATTCTGAATGCATCATATAAATGCTACGGTAATTAGTCTTAGGTGATTTGTTTGCTTCACTTAGCACCATGTTTTCAAGGCTCGTCCATATCTAAGCATATGCCAGTACTTCATTTCTTTTTTATGCCACTCTTCCCCAACAAAAAGAAGTCCACTGTGTCCACACTAGAAAGCGCCTCCTCCGAATCAGAAGGAGGGCAGAGTAAAGACAGTTAAGAAGGAGAGTCAGAAAAGCTCCCTGCTCCTTAGTGTTTGCCTAAGAGCAAAACATATTTGCAAAGATGTACCCCTCCCTTCTCTCCCAGAAATGACAGAAACTCATTGCTGGAGACGCCTGTAGGTCCTTATTTTGGGAGTCCAGCCAGAAATTATGTAACCAAATTAGTAACTCTGTCTTACCCACTGCTAGTTCCCCAGTTCCTTACATACCCCCAAACCCATAGATGCTTTCCTCTGTCTTGCTGCTATGCCACTAAAAGCTGACTTTTAAATTTGGTATAAAAAGACTGGAAATACGTTTATATTCCCCAGTTTCATTTAAAATATTGATCTCTAGTTGTGTTCGTGTTAGTACTATAATCTGTTACTCTTGGTTGACAATGCTGAGTGCATCTGAGTTCTGCATTTTCTTTGTTTGAGGTTTATCCTGGATAATATGAGTCTCACGTGTTAGTAAATTTTACTAATTTGTCTTTTATTATATGAGTCTGTCCCAGCTACAGACTTAGGGATGCTGAAGGGAATAACATTCTCCTTCCTCCATGGCAGTATTTTGCTTACCTATTCCTCAGTTGGTAAACATTAGTTTTGTTTTGTTTTTTGCCTGCTATCAACACTGCTACTATGGATATTCATTCACAGGTCATTTTGTGCCAAGCATTTTTATTTCTCTTGGGTATATACCCAGGGGCAGAATTCCCATATAATATGGTAGCTTGATATTAAAGTTTTGTAGAAATACCATACTGTTTCCAAATGATTACATTTTATATAACACCAGCAAGTTTGAATGTTTCTGTTTTTTTTCCTATCCTTACCAAAACCTATTATTTATTTTATTACTTGTCTTAATGTATGTGGAGTGGTACCCTGCTGTGGTTTTGATGTATACATCAAATGTATTAAGCACATACTCAGGCGCTCATTTCTACTGGAATATCTTCTTTTAATAATTTTCCGTTTAAGTCATTTGTATGTGTGTTTCTAAATTAGGTTTATAGATACAGCTTCCTATATTTTGGATATGAGTCCTTATAGACAAAAATCTTTGCATTATTTAGATAAGTTCCTATATTATAAATAGGACTCCTATATTGTAGATATGAGTTCTATATTTTATATACAAGCCCCTAAATTACAGAATAAGTCCTTATTATAAATACAAGTCTCTTACCCTATTGATACAACTTCTTGTATTATAGACACAAGTCTTTATGTTATAGATATGAGTCTTCTATATTGCAGAAACAAATTCCTACATTACAGAAACGAGCCTCTGTAATACAGATATAATTCCCTTGTTAGAAATATGATTTGTAGCTAAATTCTCCTGTTGTATAGGTTTTTCTAAATAGTAATTCAAGTTTAAGAACGCTTGCTTATTCACGGGTTAAGGATTTCAGGAGTTAAATCCTTTCTTCTGGATTTGTTCCAATTTGGGAAGACTGGTGCTCAGGGCACACTCTGAAGAGTGCACACAGAGAAAAGAAGGCACAGTGACTATCAGAGAGTACCGTGGTCAATGAGTGCAGGTAAACAGATGAATCAATGTATGAACTCACTCCTAGTTTGCAGCACTCCTCTGGCTTGTGTCCCTCTGCTGGCCTTTCAAAGAAATATTCATTTCAGGGCCCAAAGTTCCCCCGAGGAGCTGTGAAGCATTAGAAAGGTGCGCTTGCTCCCGCACATTCTCTCTAAGCTGTTTTCTCCACTCCATTGCTCCACAGCACATCCACTACCATATGGAAGTCTGCAGGGTTTTCACAGTGAGAAACAGTTTTATGTTCAGCTCTTTACACCTGAGACCCACCGACTTAGGGAGAAATAAACAGTTGTATTTTCAGCTTGATATCGACTCTGTAGCATTTTCACCAGTCCTGGGTATTTGTGCTGAGGATGTTCATTTGGAGTTTATTCAGGGGGCTCAGACCTCACACGCCTGATCGCACAGTAGTGTTCTCAGCATGGCTGTCTCCTCAATTAATCACAGAACTGTAGTGGGATAGACTTGAGGCTTATAGGGAGGCAGGCTGCATAGCCCTGTCTTCAGATCGACTGAATTCACTGCAGAGATCGCAGGACTGACAAATGGTCCTAGCCTGGCAGCCTGTGTTTGCACATTATTTATACCAGCCTATTTTGCAAGTTAAGTTTGATATAATCCTTTCTATGTCCTGAGTGTTAAATCATAGAAAAAAAAATCTGAGTGATTAAAAGAAATGGGAAGAATCAAAGGACTTCTAGTAGAGACTGCAGCGAAAACACAGAAATCTGGGAGACTGCACGAAGGAAACATTCTGGGCTAAGAAAGAACAAAGAGCAGCAAGGCTTTCCTTACTTGGTAACGGAATATAATCGACATTCTAATGTTACCTAGGCGAAGCTGCCTGCCTGCTGGAATTACTCAGCTCACTTTTCCCTCGTGTGTACGCTACTGAGGTGATTGGAGCATTCAGGTGACACACGTATAGATATGGCCTTTAGAGCTATTGGAACATTCATAGAGTTTTGAGACTGTGAGGGCCCTCGCCAGAGAAAATGGAAAGGGGAATTGAGAAGAATAGGAGAGCTGGAGAACTGTCTCAGAAGTTAGGAGCTCTTGCTGAGCAAGCTTGAGGACTGGAGCTGATATTCCCGTACTCACATTACAAGCCCAGCTCTAAGAAAAGGTAGAGGCAGGAGGATTGCTGGGGATTGCCAACTTGTAGCCTGGCCAAGGAAACATGATCCCCACATTCTGGGAGGGTTCAGAGGAGGATACCCAGTGCCTTCTTCTGGCCTCAGTGTGCATAGGAGTACATATTCATGTGTGTATATGCTCACAGAGACTCAAGCACACACACACACACACACACATACACACACACACACACACACACACACACACACACACTTTTTTTTTTAATTAGATGGAGGGAACATCTAAGTATATTCTGGTCACTAGGGTAAAATACCCCAAACTGGGTAGTTTATAAATAGAAACTTGTTGCCCGAAGTTCTAGAAGATAGAGAGTTTAAGGTCCATTAGATATCTCAGTCCTGGTATGGACGCATTTCCTCATGGGCACGGCCTGATAGTTGTATCTTTATGTGGAAGAAAGGGAAATCAAACTCCCTTGGCCTCCTTTATACAGGCACTAATGCCATTCCCGAGGGCTCCATCCTCATGACAGAATCAGCTCTGAAAAACCCCTTCTCTTAATGCTACTGTGCTGGAAGTTAAATTAGGGCGGAGTGTTACAAATGTTTCCAGAGGATTACCACGAGCAAGCACACTGACTTCACCGAGTTTGGAGAAAACGATTTACACATCAAAAAAAATGGCCATCGGTACTACCGCACAGTACTCACGCAATGTGTTCTTTTCGACACAAATGTAAGCATTTCCACAATTGCTTGTGTCACACACACGAAAAGAGGAAGTTGGTTGTTCTACCAGTTGGTTTAGGGTTCAGGGGCTAACTGACTCTGTTGTAGACATAGGGAGGAAGGCCAATGGTGTTCAGATGCTGTGTGGGCTGGAAGGGAGGTAGCCATCCCATCTACGGAAGTTCTCACGAATGGCGTGGCAGCTTCCACATTAAAGAGACTCGTGTGAATCAGATCAGAATCAAGCCACATCTGTCATAATTTGAGGTCATTTTTTTTTTTCAGGAATTTTGTGTTGTTATTCAGCAGTTCTGATGGAGTGAGGGCTGTTGCCTGGACAGATGGGTGTGTCTGATGCTGGTGGCATGAGGTATTGGCGTTTAATACTGACCCCCATGCATGGTAGAACGAATGGATGTCTGTGGGCTATATGTTGAAGATCTTAATTATAGATTCTACAAGTGGGCAGCTCTATACAATATCCCTCACCCCACCCCTCACGCGCAGTATGATTCTTCCTCCTCTTTCTGCTGCAAGCATTTCCAGCCAATAGATTTTCTTCTTCCCCATCCCTGCCTAGCTCTTCAATTCTGCGAAAGGGTTCCTCTCATAAAGTGACATTCTCCCCTGTAAGAACAATAATGGTGCAGAATACAGAGAAGTTTCTTTCCAGCGTGAGGGTGACTCCAGCCAAGGTCCGAACAGCTTTGGTCGCTGCAGATGTGCTGCCAGGATCAGTGTCACTCTAACGGCATGCGTGGAAACCCTGAACCAGCTCACACAGCAGAACACAAGCTGTTAGTTTAGTTCTGTGAATGGCAGGTACTTCTCATCTTTTTGCTTTCATCTGTGTTTCGATTTTTAATTTTCAGGTTTAGATTGACAAATTTAAAACTTGGATTATTTTTTTTACATATTAAAAAGCATTTTTTTTGCTTCCTTTCGCAAATTATAGCCATATTGTTATCTATCTATCTTTCCTTCCTTCCTCCTTCCTTCCTTCCTTCCTTCCTTCCTTCCTTCCTTCCTTCCTTCC